ACAATGCTAAATGGAGATATTGCCTGCAGATTTCATAGAGGAACATGACCCTGTAGTCATGGTTGTAAAATGAAGAACCCATCTGAAAGCTCAACCCAGTGTTGAACTGGAAGTTAGCATTTTTATATAACAAAAGTCTTGTGTTTGCTGTGCTCTGCAGCACCTGCAACCTCCTTCTGTGAAGAATCTCCTGTACAAAAATAGCTGAGAGAGAATCCGAGTTTTGTAGAGAAGTGAGATTAAAAAAAACCTAAACCATTTTCTTACAGTGACTCTATTTTCTTTGAAGCAGGTTACTCAAACTTACCTGGTTCACAGCTGATGTGCTGGGCTAAATGCCTGAGGGTAAGTGACAGATCCCTTGCAGAGTGTTCACAAGGGTTCTGCTGTGCTCCTGCTGAAGACAACTCTGGATTTAGAAACAAAAGTTGTGCCATAACTGAAGATAATGTCTCACTCTATCCTCTCTAAGAAGTTAATCTACTCTCTCTCCCTAGATAATCTCTCTGCAACCAAGTGCTTTGCTAAAATAATATTTGCACTACCCTCAAGAAGCTGCCTTTGGATCGCTCTGCTTTAGGGGTTAACTTAAACTTCCTTTTCCTCACAGACCTTTTTCAAAGCAAAGGAGAAATCACTACACTAGAGCGGAGCAACTCAACTGTTGCTAATATTTAATTCCTTCCATGCCCTGAGAAAATTTCTCTGGATGCCAATACTCTTGTGTAGAATAAATCTATATACCCTGCATACATGCACTCTGCATGTACATGTGCATGCATGTTTATTAATGACACAGTAAGTCATTCACTTTAAATTCCCCTACATTAAAAGGCAGCTTCTAAGGAAAAAAAAAAAATGAATCATTTTTAGATCATCAGCTGTATCAGCAGCTATCAAAAATGCTAATCTTGGCTTCAATCAAGTTTTGCATTATACACTTTATTAGTTACATATAACAGTAAATAATGATGCCATCCACATATACAGATACAGACAATATTGCAATCAGAGAATATTCCTAAAGAATTTTTAATTTTCTCTTGAAACAAAGAATGGTACAGTTACAAACCCAAAATATTACAGCAAAAATATTTGTTATCTTCATGAGTAGAACAAAGACATGAGCAGTAAATAACATGGGTCTTACACAAAAATACATTTCTTTTAGGAAATTTTTTTGCTTAATTCATTCTAGTTCATGTATTAACACCGCTTTGCCCTCTTCACAGACTTCAGACTGAATGTGGTGCTGGGGGCAATCACATGGGGTACAATAACAGCTTGTGGTCCAAGAAACATTAGTAGCCTATAACACTTAAGAAGGTGGTACATTCATGTATTGAAAGACAGCAACTAAAAAGTGCACACATTCCCAATCACACAGGAAAACTAGTGAGTTCACGGAATGAAAAATGAAAACAGTAACTGTTTACAACTTAACCCAATTTCACTTGGTTGTAGATGCACAAGATAGTCCAAATATTTCTCAAAAAAACATTTTTTCATTAGGCAACATTGGCTGGCAGCTCCAATTACACACTCCAGTGATTGTCTCTGAAACAACAGACTGCCTTGAACAAAAGAGATGACCAAGAGGATGAAGTTAGGAAAGACCTATTAACCTGAATTGTTTCATATTAATTCTTCCTACTTCTTCCCTTGTTCTTTCTTCCATGTAAAAAACATGGACATTCAGCAACAGAAAGAGATGTTATTAAAGTCAAGCACCCATCTACAAAATACTTGCTCTGAAGGACTTATCTCAGTCCTAAGCTTAAGAAAGCTCCTGACTGCAGCAATTCCAGACTGTGCCTTACAGATCTGGTATTTTCACACCCAGGCAACAGAAATGAGGGGTTTAAGGCCATGTTAGGAATGCTAAATAAAAATGGGTCAATGTTTGCTGGATCTCTCCCACTTAGATTATCAAAAGTTTGACATGGTCTGGAAGAAATGCAAAGATAAGAGCTATTTTTAAGGCTAATCTCTGAATTTTGTAGCTGAAAGTTATCAATTGCACACCCTGGTGGGCCCCTGGGAACTTGGGGGCAGCCTCCTTGCTTACGTTCCATTACATAAGTTCTCTTTCATCCTCTAGAGCTCTCTTGAAACACTTAAAAGCAAACTGAAAAGCAAAAACTGATGCACGGGAATGGAATGCTTCTCCTCACTTGGTTTCTCACACCATCCTCTTGTAGTTGACATGTTATTCCATTCATGATACAATTATCTCTTTAAACAGTTATGATTTTTAGCACCCACCTCTACTCTTACTGGACAGCTGAGCCAGGATCTCAAGGCTAAGAGAGTCAGAAACCCTATTTCCAGTGCCAGATGGATGTGGAATTTCCAGGCTGAGAAAGTTGGAGCTGCTCAGCCTGGAGAAGAGAAGGCTGCATGGAGACCTCATAGCAACCTTCCAGTATCTGAAAGGGGTCCTATATAGGGAAGCAGGAAAGGGACCCTTTGTCAGGAACTGTGGTGATAGGACAAGGCATAATGAGTACCAACTGCAAAAGGGAAAATTTAGGTTAGATACTAGGAAGAAATTTTTTACTCTGAGGGTGGTTAGACACTGGAACAGGTTGCCCAGGGAGATTGTGGATGCCCCAAGCCTGGCAGTGTTCAAAGCCAAACTGGACAAGACCTTGAGCAACCTGGTCTAGTGGGAGGTGTCCCTGCCCATGGCAAGCAGGGTTGGAACTAGATGATCATTAAAGTCCATTCCAACCCCTTAACATTCTATGATTCTATGTTTGATTGAGTGGAAAGCAAAAAACACAAAGCCTCAACTACCCCAAATTTGTTTCTGCCGTGAGCTAGAACCTCAGTTTCTTGACAGATGATAAGATTATTGCATAGAATACCGGTTTGCTCTTTATCTGCTCTTTATTTTGCTGCTGAGCCTTTTATTTAAATACTTTATCACTGCCTGGAAATAGCTCGCAGGTTTCCAACTTTCAATCTCTTTTTAGAGGGAGAGTATTAAATCCAGGATATAATTAAGCCTTTATTATTAGAAATATTTTCTTTTCAGGGACCCAACAGGGTTTCCAGCATGCCAAAATCTTGTTTGAACCTTTTCAGAGGGTAGCCAAGTAATTTGGCAGGAGATAAAAACACAGGGAACCAGAACTAGAATATTTTTTCAACAATCAGCTGAACATAACTAAAGAAACTGGAAACTAATAGTGAAGAAAGGAATTAAAAATAAATTTTAAGAAAGAAAAAGGCTCCATCTTTGAATTTGGACAGTGTTAACTGGAGAGGTTAGCAAACATTCTGGATACTGCCAAAGACTTTCTACTGGATATTTGAAAACAACTCCCCAAAACTGCAAAAATATTATCTTGTTAGGATTTTGCAACGGCAAAAGTCAAAGCAAACAGGGGCCATGAACATAAATATTTTCTGAATCTGTATCTTGCTGAAGAACACAAATATATTTTGGCACACATTATTATAAATTTTCCAGAGGAAAAGCCACCCAGATATATCAGAAGGGAGAAACTTTCACTTTTCTCACTCAGGTTGAAAATGTGTACATCCCTTGATGGGGCAGTTTATATCACAGCAAGTCATTAAATGTCAAGAACTGATATAATGAAAGCATCTCTACTTCCACTCCTATACCCTTGCCTGCCGTTTCAGTATCCATGAGTTACTTTTCCTATATTCAGCTACCTCAGTAGCAGACTATTCTTGTTGAGCTCACCTCTCTAGGACCAGCAAGGCCTGTTAGCACTTGACCTGGCAAAGACACATGGACCCTATCTGGCAAGTGTTCCAAGCATGCTTAGCTTACTCCGAGATAGGTCTTCCCATACAAAATGTTTAAATCAAGATCATCAAGTTCAGAGGCTAAGTTTAGAAACATAAGTTTTCAGGATCCTTTTCATACAAAAGGATTCTCTAAGTCTACAGTGAAACAAGGAAAAGAAAAGCATCTCGTGATTCTTATTGTATTGAAAGGCTATCTTGGAGTTTGGCATGGTTTAACCCCAGCCAGCAGCCAAGCCCCACAGAGCCACCCGCTCACTCCCCCCCAGTAGGATAGGGGAGAGAATCAGGAGGGTAAAAGCTGAAAAACTCATGGGTTGAGATAAAGACAGTTTAACAGGGAAAGCAAAAGCCATGCACACAAGCAAAGGAAAACAAGGAATTAATTAACTGCTTCCCACAGGCAGATGTTCAGCCATTCCCAGGAAATCAGGTCCTTGTCACATGTAACAGTGACTTGGGAAGACAAATGTCACCACTCCAAATGTGCCCCCCCTTCCTCCTTCTTCCCCACACTTTATATACTGAGTATGATGTCATAGGGTCTGGAATATCCCTTTGGTCAGTTTGAGTCACCTGTCATGGCTGTGTCTCCTCCCACACTCCCATGCATTCCCAACTTCCTTGCCAGCGTGGCAGTACAAAAAGCAGAAAAGGCCTTGGCTCCATGCAAGCCCTGCTCAGCAATAACAAGAACATCTCTATACTATCAACCCTGTGTTCAGCACAAATCCAAAACACGGCCCCATAACTAGCCACTGTGAAGAAAATTAACTCTACCCCCGTTGAAACCAGCACAGAGTTAAATAGTTCCCCATACTCAACTGCAACAATCCATGGAAAACTTCAAGTAGGATTCTATTCAGCCTTCTGGATGGCACTACATCTGTGGGACTTTAAAGAGACAGCATCATTGATGGCACTGAATCCGCAGGCTCAGCTTACAAACTGCTAAAACTTAAATGTTTGCAAAAAGTCCGCTAGCTCAGGTCTGACTCTTCCAGTAAGAGTAGGAACTCAGTATTATTGTAGTGCTGTCAGTTCTGTAGGTGTGTAGGTAAAGCACAAGGTAAAAGAGAAACTTTTCAGAAGCCCTACAGTGAGAAACACACATCCCAAATTCAGATAATTGTGATCACATAAAGTGAATGTTAACAGAGCCTGCTCATTTTGTAGCTAAGATGTATGTATAAAAGCAAATAGTTGATCAGACAAAGTGAAAATATCACTATTTTCATTTCAGTCATCCTTACAGCTTTTAACAAACTGCAAAAGACATGATTTAAGTTATACAAGCACAAAAATTTCACGAGACGAGTGATACAATTCATAACAAAGAAAAATAAATGCAAAAAAAGGATAGAAAATGTTTTCTGATATTCCACAAATATTCAGAGAAAGTTTAACAGACAAAATGGAATTTCTTCAGCAGCACTGATTAAACTCAAGATGAGGCAAAGATCTTTACAAAGTAAAGGCACCAGCTCTTTGTAAACACGTACTCTTCTCGCTTTAACTGAGAAAGCACTCAAAATATTCCATGGAGGAAACCTGTGTGGTAGTGTTCCTTATTGCCTGTACTTCACAACAGAGATATCAAAGGCCTTTCTCCTCCTTTTTACTGTATTTAATAAGAAATGTTTTTTCTTCAATTTATCTAGTGGGAAACTCTTTAAACCTCCCCGAAAATGTTACAATGAACGTATGAGACAGTGTTCTCTCTTATCTGCCTTCTGATACCTATCAAGAAGTTTCAAGGCAAAAGAAATGTCAGATGCCAGTATGAAACATACACGTCATCTCTCGTTTTCAGTATTGTGCTATCAGTTTCCCAGAAGGAATCATTGGCTTATATTAAAATACAGATACATTTAAAATAAAAAAGGAACTCGTGAACATCCTCCTGCTGTGCAGCTCCCTACTCTTTGACTTTTCAAACGCACCAGCAAAGACTGAGCAAGCAGAGAAGATTAGATACTTCCAATCATGACAATTGTACTTCAGGATTCCAGATTTTTTCAAGTATGCATCCTGAATGTACACGTCTCCCTAGTGTGGAGAGTGTTCACACAGTTCTTTACTAGTGAAACTGCAAAACTTGAAAACCATTAAAATAAATATTCCATATAAAGATGAATTGTTTGCATCGTGGGCAAAATGAACCGAGCATCTTCATAGCTTCCACCACACATCTACCACCAATATCAACAGACACATTTTACTACTCATACACACAAATCCAGTGATTATACTAGTTCATATTGTTCCATATCCAACCAAACTTGTGCGTTTCTAAGTCATCTTCCTTCAGCTTTATAAAGTTGACTGAATTTTTAACGTAGTGCTTTCAGGTTCTACAGGACTGTCAACTGGTACCTGGGGAGGGAGATAAAAAAAAAAAAATACAAACACAACAGGAATTAAGCTGTTATGCACCAGAACTATTCCCAACCTCAGTATTCTTAGTTAATTGTTAAGTTAGACTCTAGTAGTATATCTAGTCAATTAGACCAATTAAGCAGTTATAGAAAGCCCTATTTTCCCTTCTCTCTCTCCTAAAAAAACAAACAAAAAACCCTTAGAATTTAGTTTCTTAGTATAAGTCTAAAGCATGGATTTACAGCATATAGATGTTTGGCACATATGTATTAACTTCCAGGTTTTTTCTCCATTACATTTAAACACTGTAGAATCTTGATGATCAAGGTTTGGTATCAAAGTGCTATTGTACATTATTAACACAGACAGCTTTCAATTATTTATGGTAATACCAGGGCAAAGACTCCAACTTTTCTTATATCTTGGCTAATATAAATGAAGCTGTGTGACAACCTAGGCTAATTAGGAAGGTGATAACAGAAATCAGACGAGTCATGGGCCACAGCCTTTAAGCAGCATATAAGCCCCAAGACAGCCCCGACTCAGGCCAGCAAACCCACAGGATGCCACACTTTGCACACACAGCTGCACAGGTTTCAGGTTCAAGTTAGCTCATACAGCACCAGCTTGGAAGTTTCTGAACCTCCTGCAGATACTAACTGTGTGCAGTTGATCACAGATGATCGAAAGCTGCTGTACATGTGAGACACCTACACATAAAAAGTATGACAGAGGATCTTGCAATATCTGACTCTAAAAAGTTGTCTCATGTTTTGATCCAGTGAAAAAAGTTTTCAGTGAGAACTTTATTTCTATTAGTAACTGTGGTAATTTGGAAAAGTTGCTGAAACATGATCTTGGAATCTCATGAACAGCAGAAAGGGCTATGCTCATTCTTCATTTAAATTGAGAGGGTGCTCAGCATAAGAACAAACCCAGCTCTTTATGCAGCACAGTACAGAAACTGCAGCATTGCTTCTATTCAGCAGACTGACTTCACTTGAAGGGACTGCAGATATTTTAAATAAAATGTGTAGTCTATAGGATGGCCTCATAACTCAATACACAAAAAGGCTTCACAATTTACAATGGTACCTGCAAATATGAAAAAGCAAGATTCAAGCAATAAAATCAAATATTAACATTAACCCCTTAAAAGTCAGGAAAATCTGGGAGTAGAAGGTACTTTAGGGTTTTTTCATGGGAGCTAAGGGGAAAAACAGATATCTGAGGGCAGCATCCCATGTGGCTCTGTTGTTCCAAAACAGCATGGAAACAGTCATAAGATTTTATATTTACTCTTTTGCAGTTAATATTGGTATGCCAATAGAAACCAAGCATTCAAGTAGGTAATACAATCACAGAGTCACCACTTACAGCTTTAACATCCAAATTCATAATCCCTGAATTCACATTGTGTCTTCGCAAATCTGACTTTATTAAGGCTGAAACAAAAAAAAAAAAAGGAAAAAAGAAAGCTGGTTCACAACTTTGCAATGACATGCATGTCAAGGGAAATGCGTGCACAGTGCAAGGACATGAAAATTGTTTTCAGCACATTTTCAAAATACCCGTATTCACTCTTTTGCAATTGGAACTCATTGTCCATTTGAACTTGCTCCCCACAAAGCATACAAAGCAGAAAATGACAATAAAAGCTTTTAAAGCACAAGTACTTAAAGCAAAGCTTGATAGTTTTAGCACTTTCAGCACATTTGGAAGTATCAACATGTGTAAGTCACTGGTACAGCTCTGGAACACATCAGCAGTTTCTTGCATTTGGAAAACTGCAAACTGCCTCCATTTATGCATTTCTTTCCATTTATCATCCTACTCAGGAGATAGACATCTGTCTTAAATTCAAGGCATGACCCAAGAAATGGATGCCAAATGGCTGTTGCTATATTAGCAACATCATCCTTAAAACCTCCACATTTTTACATTAAAGAGTAAACATTACTTGTATTTCTAATTAATTACCTGTTAAGATAATGCCCACAAAAATCCAAGCACAAAGAAAGAGGTTTCCTGCACGAGGACTGTAGTCTGTTGTGAGTTTTCCTTGAACAAGTGTAAAGAGAATTCCAAATATCTATAAATAAACAAGTCAGTTCATCAGGATCACACAGAAAAGTGTCATCACTTTACCTTTAAAAGTTTCAGGTCACATCTTACAGAAACCAAATTACAAAAAACAAGGGCTACAGCAACACAACAGAAACTTAGTAGGCAAGTCTAAGAAAGCCTTCCTAGACCTGAACATAGTGGTCTTCCCAAAATTACTTTGTTTGAAGAAATAAAATGATACAACCTGTGCTGATGCATTAAGGAGACCTGAGGAAGTGCCTTCAGACTCTGGGTATGTAATTTCCACAGCAAATTCAAACCCAAGTGGAAGATAGCCAGTCATGAAGAACCTGTTGAAGAGGAGAGTAAAAGGATGGCAGGTGTGGCCTTCATCTATTACTACAGCTAAGAAAATCTAACATACACATAGGGTATTAGGAATTAGCCAGTACTCTGAACTGTCATGTTTTCATGACAACATAATTCAATAATTCTTTTGTTTGCTTCATTCCCTCAACAACATCCGAGAATTTTAGCTAAACAACTCTCTCTCTTTAGGACAAAGATGTTTTAACATATTTGTCCTACTTCCCATAACCACCTGCATTCCACTCCATACATACAAAACAACCTTTTCTGACCAGTCCACAAGCCACTCCACAGTTGAAGCCAATTCCTCTCATATGAAAGACATACAGAATCATCATCATTTGATCAGCCCAGATATCCATGCTGAAGGACAAAGAGAGACTATCAGTAGGGAGTGAGGCTGTACACTGGAACATCTGCTAGAAGCTGCTATGGAATAAGCTGAGGGGACTGACAGATGACAGGAAGAGAAGGGGCTTAATGCAGTTGAGGTTGTCTCAAGACATTTCTGGCTTTACCTGGTCTGCTGTATCTAAAATACAGCACCATTCCCTCAGCACCTTTTGAGGCTTTTAGACCATGTATCTATGATGAGAGCTCATGCTCTTCTGAGTGATCAAAGTAACCAGCATGTTGCTTGGGCTATCAAAGCAGAGACTAATCAAAATGCAAAGAAGCCAGTCTTTCTAGATTTGCTCATATTCTAATCACTTCTCCACTGGTCAACAGGAAGCTGCAACTTTACTGCAGACAGCTTTTTGAATTGCAGCCAAATGAACTGACCGTATAGAGACTTAGGTCCATAAAAATGTTAAATGAAATTTACTGAAAAGTGAGTTACTTTAGATTTATTCTGATTTAATGGAAGGTGAAATCCTAGTAAACCCTACCTGTACTGTGAGCTATAGGCATAGGTTGAGACCATGGTGACAGAATACACAGTAGAATCATCTAATTAAAACAGTTAAATACTGTTTCTGAGCAAAAGTAAGTCTTCTAATGCTCTTTAATTGCTCACCCAAGTACTCCTCCAGTCACGAACACTACTATAAGGTATCCGAGGTCCAGGGTGAAGGTAAATACCAACAACCCAATGAAAGAGAGAATGTAAACAATCAAAGTAGTTTGCCTGCAACCCAACCAAAAAAAAAAAAAAAAAGTTAACATTCTTAACAGAAGGTCATAGCACATTACTGAAGCATGGAAGAGCAACATAAACATTACTTACTCTCTAACAACAGACATTCCAAAGCTATAAAATTTGCTTCATCCAATTCTGACTCAAACATAGCATGCAATGAGAATATATTCCTCCCTGACCTCTTCAGTGCCTTGGTTATATGGCTGCTTCACTCAAGGCTCAAGACACTCAGCACTCAGACTCTCAAAGAGTGGACAATCACAGCAGATACTACTACCTCAAGACTATTTTAAGTTCTCTGCTATGTTGTACCTCTTGACCATTCTGCAGTGCTGCCCTTTACATGATACATCAACACAGGAGCAGCCAAACTGAACACTCTTAATAAAAGTCAGCCCACTAAGAGGCAAGTCAAACAAATCTCATTATAATGTTCTATTTATTTTAAATCTGGAATAAGGGATGTCATCCAAATTCTTAAAGCACACATTTATAAGCCAAAACACATGCAGAAACAAAACCAATCTACAGCATTAACATCCATTAGGTTTCTAGAGCTCTTGCACATAATGTGCTATGAGTCACAGGGGAGAACTACTCCATCACAAACAGTGCTCCAGGCCAGTGCTTGCTGCTGGGGGCCTTGGGTGTTGCACCTGGAAGCTCCTAGCCTCCTAGCTGAACAGAGTTCAGCTCCATGGTCACCTCCTGAATTAAAGCTAATGTTATGCTTACTAATGGGACCAGGAGCAGTATAAAAAAAATTGAGAATCCATCACCTGTCCATCTTGCAAAACAATGCAGAGTAGGCTTTAAGCCTTTATGCTTTCCTAGGAGAAGAAGCCCACCTGGCCACTGTAGGTAGGACTTACAGTGCTTTCCCCGTTAGCCTTATACTCCTGAAGAGATAGGGGTAGATGGAAAACCCCTTTGCATCTTTGCATTCCTCTCCCTCATTTCTTTTGGTCAAGAATCAATAAGAGCCTCAAGTTTTCACTGTAGTCTCAGAAACTTGTGTCCATCAAGGCCACTAAAAGATCAGGAATGAACTGCATTTTATCATCAGTTCATTTCAGCCCTTACATTGCAGTATTTTTCAAATGCAATTGCAACACTCTCCTACCCCTGACCCCAGACATGCCTACCCACACTTACTTGTATGTTTTAGTGTAATCCAGCCACAAACCACAAATAATCGAACCCACCATTCCTGCCACCACCAGTGTCAAGCCAATTCTCCCAGCGTTCACTTCTTCTCCCTTTCAACAAATATTTATATGGTGCTCATTAATAACTTGTTTCCACTCAGAGTCAAGTTCAGACCTCATGGCAGTCAAAAGTGCAAACAAACATTCCTATGACTCAAACAGCAGTATGTACAAGAAACTGTAGAGATGTATAAAGGACACCAAACATCTGAGCACACATAGCACCTACATAATAACAAACATCACCTCTGCAAATGTACAGTGAAAAAAACCAAAAAGACAAAGATATGAGAAACTTACCTCATAATGAGTTACTATCATCTGGTTTAATAACGTGGAGACAGAATAAAATGTCCCGGTCATAATACCTGCAGTACCAAAATAAAAGCTTCAGTCATTCCAGGGGTAGCCAAGCAGATCTGCTACCTTAAGAAATATTCTTCTGACATTTAAGACCCACATCAGAGGCAAAACCTTTTATTTGCCAGGTGAAATCTCTTCGTTGGACCTATAAATGGTATTTTGCATCCTGCAAGATTTTACAGAATTGGCAGCTGAATAAATAAAAGTTTGATACTCCTTCCTCCGTAAAAAACCACCACCACAATTAAAACTCAGTGTGCTTTCAGCACACATTTGAACTGTTCTACCACACTACAGCCGGGCAGCACCACTTACCATAACTGATCAGCAAAAGTAGAAATGGAGTATTTTTGAACAAGTTAGTAATGGACTGCTTGTAGGAATAATCCTCAGGAGGTTTGGTTTGCAGGACTGCTTGAGAGTGACTAGGAGGATATTTGGGCTTTTCTTCAAACACTGGGGAAGAAGAAGAAAAAACAATTTGGATTTATCTTTACCAAACTAATGTGGGGGTTTTTTGTTTTTGTTTTTTAATTGTGTCAGCATGATGATTTTCAGAAGACTGACCTGTGATTCTAAGACTTCCATAAAAAAATATTCTAGATTTTCTCATTAAAGGATGAAGTCACAGCCACAAGTCACATCTGATTGCTACCAACAGTCTGAACTTTTAGATCAACAGAGAGAATTCACATTATATCATAATGTCCTTGTAGCAAAAAAAATAAGAGAACTAAATATTCTGAAAGAAGTCACCCCATGTGAAGCATGACATACAGTGAACTGGTTGTTGCTTAACTCTGGCACAACAGGTGAGTGTACACAAATAAACTGGAGAAAATGTAACCTCAAATACTTTGAACAGTCAGATGCTTTAAGTGAGATGTTGTTAACCCTCCCTTTGGTCAGCATTTAAATTCCAGGAATGAAACACTTACCAACTCCTGTTAAGAAGAACAAAAGTGTGGACACTATTGCTGTTCCGTAGAACATGATGCTGATGTTATGTGCCATAAGATCAATATCATTAGGTGTATTTGGAACCAGAACAGGTGGCAATAAAAACCCAATTGCTGTGCCAAGCTGTAAAGCAAGAAAAGAAAACCAAAAATAATTTTTATGTTCATAGGGAAATTAACAGAAGTGAAAAGTCTTACCAGGTAGAATTTAGAATTTTTATCATAATAAGTATCAATAAAACTATCAAGGAAAAGTGTTCCTTTGGTATCATACTTCTGAGCCATTTTCTCTTGATGATGTTTTACAATCCGAGCCTCCATAACTCAGGTTTTAACCTTTTCATTTCTAAATTAAATTCCGATACTACACCTTGTGTATATCTATATGACATCTAGCACACATCTAAGAATCTTTCACAGAAAAACACTGTGCACGCACATAAATTTGTATCAGTCATCCTGCAACTGAAGGGCTGGAGTTGACAGAAGACTCAAGCTACTTTTGTAGAAACGCTCTTCTCCATTTGATGCCACGTTCCCGCTGCCAAAGTAACAAAGACTGACAAGCAATGTTTACTGATTGAGCTGAGAAGAGCAAGAGAAAAGGAACATCCTTTTTAAGAAACACAAAACAAAACCCTAAAGAAAAATCACAGAATGAACTAGTATCTGATTTGTATCTGGAGTAAATTCCAACATAACAACTGATTTTGTATTAAAGAGACAAAAAAACAAGGACTGAAATTTTGGGTATATATATAAAGCATTTTAAAACATGAAGAAACAACCATCTTGGACTACTCTCCAATTTCTCTCTTCTGCTCCTCCAAAACTAAACTGCTTTTTAAAGTGCTAGAACATTTATTTTGTTACTAAAGAACCTGCATCTATTTTAGGTAAAATAAAACAAAAAAAAAGGGTACAAAAGGCTGTTAGAGTATAAGTCCAACACTCAGAAAGTACTCACATTTAAGTGCTTACAATAGTGCTTACAAAGCGTCCTTTGTGCATATCCTGATGTGTGGTTTGCTACTTTTTTTTTTCCCCCCCAAAGACCATCAGACTTACACAGTATCCAGTGGTCACATAAAGACTGTGTCTCTTTTTGTCCTCACCCTTCAGATTATAACTCTAAAGACATGAACTCAGTACACAGTTACTTTTTTTTCTCAAGGTATGTTTTTTCCTCCCCCAATAGGAGCCAATACAGCACCCACAACAAAGTCGAGTGATACCATTTTTCACCATTTACATCTAGAGAGGTTAAGGCCAGCAGGATCAAGCATTCCAACGACTTTGGCGTGCCTTGCTTAAGATGCTAAATACTTGAGGCAATCTGGCACTCCTAACAACCCCTGGCAGGTACATCGCTGCATTCCCAGGGATTTGTGCTGAACTGCAAATGATCAGCATCTAAAGAGGTAATGGGTACGATCTGATTTTTCATAACTATCCTGTCCCTCCCCTGCCTGCAGTCCCAGCCCTGTTTGCTGCAACTCTCAAGTTATAAAAAGTTTCTGATAAGAAATCGCGTGACCAACAGCACAGTGGATTATAGCAAAATGTTCTGTTACGTAGTTTGCCTTGTGCAATTAAATAAATACACTGAGACCCTAACAGAATGTGTATAAAGAAGTGAACTGCAGTAGAATATACAGGCAACATTACTTCTAATTTCCGGTTTGCCATCTCACTCTTTCAATCTACCTTTTGAAGGTTTGGGCAAGGAGGGGGGGAATTTTTAGTTTGGTTTTGGAGTTTGTTTTTTAAAAAAGCAAAAACTGAGAACAGAGCAATTTCCTTGTTTGACACCGTATCAGACTTCACGTGTCACAAGCAGGACCAGGATCTTCAGACCTCTGTAGCACAGAGCTCTGAGGTAGCAGTGTATGGCACAGTCGCAGAATAAGCCACTGTCCTCTGCACAGGACTCCTGGAGGGAGATGAAACACACCTTGTCAGTGCATTTCACAGGTTTTTCCCTGGCAGAGGACCAGCAAGCACTTCAGCACACTGAGATCAGTCCTACCTTCTGGAGGTAAATATGCCCCAGAAATAACTATGACTTATTTTGTTCACATTCCGTTCCCGTTTCCCTTGTCCATCTTTCTCGTGGTTTCTATGCACACAATCCTCGCTCTCCTACTCCTGTCCTGCACTACTTTGACCCCCTTATCTCAGCATCCAAACAAAGCATCAGTTTCAGACTTCAAGTTGGATCCTTGGCACTGTACTGCAGAACTGAAAACCCAGTAAGTCCTTGGTACTTGGGAGGACTGGTGCATGTCTGGAAGAGTGGAAATTTAGCTGCCAAAGAAACCTTTAACTTGATTCCAGGATATAGATCCAAAATTTTTGCTCAACTGATGAAACAACCAACAACACCTGAAATCTTCAGTCCAAAGTGAATAGTTGACTTGTACACTGAAAGACCTGAATGCAAAAAACCATTGTTTTGAAAAAACTGCAAACAGACAGGTATAAGCTAATGAGCAACCCTAACCGTAAATATGTAACATTAAAGGTACCATTGTAATAATCCAAAGTGCACAAGCATAAAATCATTAGACTCACATGAGAAAAAACAAATCCCCCACTACCTTAATCAAACTCTACCTATGACCTCAGCCCGCACCAGTGACGCTGGTTGGAATCTTAGCAATATTTTGCCACCAAAAAAAGAAAAAAAAAAAAAAGCAGGGACAGTGGCACAGTGTGAGAACAAGGCTATAGGAGGAAATAAACCAAGTATCATACCTGCACCTGTGCTTTCAGATGCACCTGTTCCAGCTCTCTGAAACTGGCCAGGACCAGGGAGCTTGAGGAAATCCAGGACTCAGTTATCAGCTCCCCACAGTGATGTGAACTATCACAGCGTAACAGAAAACTTCACAAGCCACCAGGGTATTGACTACTGGCACCTGGCAATTAGAGGCCATATTTTAAAAAGCAGAAACTAATATATGTTGGCACTGGGGCTCTTCATGAAAGTTCACGTACTTCACACCCCTCCAACCGGGGGTGGATTCAGTCATATGAATCCAAATGTCAAAATGCAAGAGGAAGAGAAAGTGGAATAAGACCACTTCTGAAAAGGGTCTTGACTGGTGTACTCCCGGCAGCTGATGTGGAAGCGTGTGAACTGCTACACGCTGCCACACGGCCGGGTCCGGCACAGCGAGGCTGGCCGGGCAGGGCAGGGCGCAGCATCACCGCACACTTGTCCCCACTCCCTCATCTTTTCACTCTCCAATGTCGCCCCATAACCGCTTCCTGGAGAATACCTTTTCCCACTCAAGCACCTTATCTTTAACTCAATGCCAAACTCCAAGGAAGCCCACTTCTTCAAAGCTGCCCTTGCTCCCCTCCGCCCCTACCTGATTGCCCAGCACAGCCACGGCGCAGGCGGTGGAGACCTCGGTGGGGCCGAACCAGACGGAGGCGATGCGCGACGGCAGCCCCAGGATGAAGACCTGGGCGATGGCACAGACGGCCTGTGCGGCCAGGGTGAGGGGGTAGCGCTGGGGGGCCAGGCTGCCGCACTTGAGCCAGGCGCCCAGCGCGTTGAGCCCCGAGCCCAGGAGGGCGGTGAGGCGCAGACCTCGGGCATCCAGCAGCCAGGTGGCCGGCAGGATCAGCGGCACGTAGGCCACCATGTAGACCATGGAGAGCCAGTCGATCTGCGTGAACGAGACGCCATAGAAGACGGCGAAGACGTTGCTGAGGATGCTGTACTGGATCCACTGGAAGGCGTTGACCAGCGAGTAGCAGCTGAAGACGGCCAGAACCACCAGCCGCCGCCGCGACAGGCGCGTCTCCACCCGCCCGCCGCCCGTCGGCAGTATCGCCTCGGCCTCCGGGGCCGCCGGGGCTGCCGGGGCTGCCGGCTGCTCCTCGCCGCCCGCCGGGGCCGCCTGCCCGCCGTCCACCGCCTCCTTGCCGGGCAGGAAGCCATTGCAGCGCGGCAGCGGGGGCGCGGCGGTGGCTGCCGGCATCTCCCCGCTCTCCCCCTCCGCCTCCTCCTCGCCGCCGTCCTCCACCATCTCGGCCGTCTCCCCACCCAGCTTCCCCGGGAGCAGCGGCGGCGGCGGCGGACGCAGCCCGGCTCTGTCGGCCAAGGTCACCTGGCTCCGAGTCCGCTCCGCTGCCGAGCCCACGCCGCCGGCGCCGCCGCCCCGCCCCGGGGCCGGGCCCCGCAGCTCGGCAGGGCGGGCGGGGCGGGGGGCGGCCCCGAACACAGGCGGGTGTCGCCGGGCGGGGCGGCGCTGCTACGGCAGAGGTGATCTTAAAAAGCTGGTACTGCAGCCCTGATTGCTGGGAGGCTGTTGGGAGTGTGGATATATGTATATACATCTGTATCTCTCTCTCTGTATATATGTTTATATATATAGGCACGCATGTATGCACATGCATATGTACACATGCATGTATACACATGCATATATATATACACATGCATGTATACGCATGCATATATACACATCTATATATATATACATAGAGGTATTTATTTTGTTCACACCTCTGCTCCCATTTTCTTGACCCATCTTTCTCACGGCTCCTATCCACACAATCTCTGCACTCCTGCTCCTGTCCTGCACCACTTCAACCCCAACATTTCAACATCCAAGTGATATCTGTGTGTACATATATATGTATATATATGTACACATACACACTTCTTTCAGTCTTTTAAGCTGAACTTGGAAGGGTTGTCCACATGGGTGACTGAGAATCATAGGGAGATGGCAGTGGTGTAAATAATCCCCATGACATCCCCAAAGAACAAGCAACATCACTTCTTTCCTGGTGACACTTTTGGTGTCTGGTGTGCCTGACCCAGGCAAGGCTGGGTGATCACAGACCAGTGCTTTGTGGCTTGTTCCTTGCTCCTCTTCCTTGGCACAGGTCAGGTCGCCTCAGCTGCTGCACCGTGTCAGACACATAGGCCACACCACTCCCAGCACATTCTGAGAAAATCCCTGGCCTTCCCCTGCCGCCATAAGATCCCTAGCCATCCCCTGCCGTAATAAGATTCGTCTCTCCACAACGGTGATGCAGAGAAATGTACTGGAGTGAAAAGAGATGGATGGGCAGAGACAGAGACCCAAACTGAAGCAGAGGGTGGTTAGTACAGTGCATCCCCAGAGTGTGTGCATCCACCCCAGCCCTTCATTGCCTCCAGAGCCCCAGGGAAAACATTCCTTGTTTCCACTCAACCTCTGAAATTTGATTTGACACATACCCCAGAAAACTGGCCATCTGGCCTTGTGCAGAGGCGGGTAGATATCACTTCAGTAAGCAATCTTCCCTCAAACCCCACTCAGTATGTGCCTGCACAGGAGCGGTGTCTGGCAGCCCCTGTCACAGTTTGCAATTCTGTTGCTGCAGACAGTGTCCCCTAATAAAAAGACAGATTGTTCTCCAAAGAGCAACAGGAAAATATAGACATATTTAATTTTGTTAACAATGTTAATAGTATTTTACTGGTTTCTGTGGGAAATCACTTGGCATGTGTTCAGCAAACAACACATCGCACATTGTTCACGGGTATGTCAGAGCCTAATCAGATCTGTCTGTGTGGTAGATGTGCTTAGCCACCAGTCTTAAGTACCCTCATTAATTATGAGTTGGTATTTTACTCGAGATCAGTTGACCTATGTAAGCCACGGTTCCTGATCTTATTTACAGCATGAATAATAATATGAACACGTGCTTCAAACTATTAATTTGGCTATGTTTGCTTTCCCTGAGCACTTAGCTGAGCAATGGTAGTGATGATTGCAGGCACCATGGATTTTTAGAGACTACTGGAAGTATATCCTGAATTTGCAGATTAGAGGTATGTGCTAGAAATTGGCTCTTTAAAAATAAAGTTACCCATGACAGATCCAGGCTCTTCTTGCCTCTGTCATTCATGCCAAGAAAAAGCCTGATTTATTTCTACTTTTCCTGTGTAAGATCAGATGCTGGGTAAATTTCTCCCAAATCCTCTGCCTGACTTGACAGTTCAAGTTGTATATGTAGCAATGGAGCCTTTTTAAAACACGAGTTCAGGAGAAAGAAGTGTAGCAGGAACTAAAACAAACAATATCAAAGCAACAGAATAGATGGCTTTCACTTCAGAAACATATGTCCGTATTACACATTATATGCTGAAAACGCACCTGTGACTATGTGTGTGCTAGTACTTCCAGCAGTGGCTGTTTATGATCCCTGGCACAGGCTGTAGGTTGGCTTTAGGGTCAGGAAAAGTACCATTACACTTTGGTTGGGTTGTATAAATGTAACTTTAACATCCTAAATTACTCTTGTTCTTTCGGAAGAAGGTATAAACATTTTTGGTGCCGTGACTTGGATCTGATTGGCTGTGGGTAAAATCATGAGTCTTGTTGAGATAATGAAGAGAAGTTCTCAGACATAACAGACTGTACCATTGTTGATAGGGTAGAGCTTTAGCTGTAATGTAAGTGCTTAATATAAACCCAAGTTGTGTCAGGGGAGGTTTAGGTTAGATACTAGGTAGAAAAATTTTCTTCACTCAGAGGGTAGTTGGGTGCTGGAACAAGCTCCTAGAAAAGGGGTCACAGCACGAAGCATTTGGATGATACTCTCAGGCCCGTAGTGTGATGCTTGGAAATGGCCCTGTGCAGGGCTAAGGGTTGGACTCTGTGATCCTTGTGGGTCCCTTGAAACTCAGCATATTCTGTGATTCTCTGATTCTGTTATTCTTTTCCTACTGTTACACCCTTGGCTGCATACAGCAGGCAGAGCTGCTGCCAGTTAATACGCTCAGTGAAAGGTTTGAATCCAGCCTGTGCTAGAATGGCCAGCACACCTTGGGTTTCACTGCTACAGTGCCCACAAAGTATCATCTGTCTTCTCTATCCACTCAGTGGTTCAGCACAAAACATCATCTGCTTCCCGCATGGAAGAAATAACTAGACACCAGGGAACTGTAGATAAAAAGAGGTGAAGTCTGATAGTGGAAAGAGCACCTCAATGACAGCTAACTCCCAGAAGGAGAAGAGACTTTTTTTCCAGAAAGAAACAAGTTTATTTACAGCAGATCAACATGGAGGGAAATCCACCTTTGCTACAGCTGCACTGGTCTAGTGAAATAAAACCAGGTTGACTTCGATGAGGTGCGGCCAATACATTTCCATCCTGGGAACATTTATCTCCAGAAGTATCTTCCTAGACAAAAAAAAGGAAAAGGCAAACCAAACTGACAGCATCAAGGCAACGCCTTGATACTTATCTTCCGTCTTTTGACACTGCTGTATTTCATCAGCTTCATAGTCATTACTTCTGATTTATAGCCATTTGTATGAGAAGCAGGGCCAAGGACATAGTTGCCAAGCAAGAGAATGTTAGCCCCTGAGAAATGTCTATGGCATTAAAATGTGAGTCCCTGGATTTCTACATTTCATGGACAATTTATAAAGCTAAAAATGGAACACTGATGTCAAGGTTTACAGCACAAGTTTAGCTTAAAACTGCTGCTGTCCCTTCTAAATCTACCCTCTAACTGAAAATTTAGGCTCTCCTGAATATTCCTATTAATGTTAGTGCCAGAAATTGCTCATGTATACCCAAATGTTAATGAAGTTGTTTTCCTGAATGCTGTGAAAACGCTAAAATATGTTATGTATCACACAGTCACTGGGAAGCAGGTGATACTAATTTACTCCATAGAAATTATTTTCTTATACCCAAATTCCAGAAGTCAGGCAGGGGCCAAGCACTCAAATTTCCAAGTTGGAGAAAGTTAAAAGGCAATTAGAGAGGCAGTATCCTTACTTGTAGTGGTGTCATTGTTCCTCCTGTAGGATATGTTCCATCAAAAGAAAATGTATTTTCATAATATTTCCAAACTTTAATGTTATCTTGCATTAAAGATAATGCAAAAAAATCTTTGTACAAAAAAAAAAAAGGCTCAGAAACAGCCTTTTTGTTTCAGTCCAGGGAATTTCACAAAATAAAGGAAACTCAGCTACAGTGTTGCTTTCAGGGTGTAATTAACTTTCAGATATCCCTAGCTGGGTTATTTCAGTGGTATTAATTCCTAGTTAAGTCCTTCTTCCAGATCTAAAAATGTTATCTAAGCCCACCACCCAAAAAACACATGTCAATTCATCTTTGTAAAACTTGAGACCAAGTTTAGGAGTCTTCTAAAAAAAACTAGAATTTTTATGTACAGCAGGCACACGGTTAAGACTTCCACATTTTTCTAGTTTTAATGTTTCAAATCAAGTACATCAATCTCTAAATGAAACAAATTAAACTTTATTTATTTAACTCTTGGTTATGATTTTCAATGCAGAAATTGACCTCTTCATGCAGAGAAAACCTACATGGCAGGAGTGCATCATGTATTTGTCTTCCTGACGAGTTGTTTAAACAAGAAAATGACAGCAGTTTAAGAAAGTGATTTCAGAACAAAAGATCTGAAGTTCCAACTGGGCTAGAAATGAACTATTTTAGCAGGATATTAAACAAACTTCAATAAGCTGCACTTGAAAGAAATTAGTTGGAGAGTCATATGCCTTAAATATCTTAATTGAAAGCTCTGAGAGAATGCAGGGGAAAATGTAAACATCCTCTTCCTTCTACGCATTCCTCATTCCAGCAATATTTGCCCAGTCTCCCCATAAGATAAAGTCATAACCCCACCTGAAGAAAAAGCACTTCCAACACAAGGCACTTGTCTGAAATTTGTTTGTATCTATCTCCAAGGGTTTGCCTGGCCACTCCAATTTGGGAATATGACTGCCTATAGTAGGTATGTTTGCCAATGACCTCGATTCAATTTTTTATGAACTCACAGAAATATAGAAGTGTACTCTTAAGTATCAGAGAAAAAATTCTGAATTTAAAATATTTGTAGTGAACTCCTCTACTGTAAACAACAGACATTTGTGTTTCTGAGTGTCTCAATCCATGCAAAAGTTGCAGAAATGTACATCTGGTACTTCTGTTGAGCTGCCATCTGGTTTTCTTTTTGTAGTCAGCTATCAATTTCATATATGTAATGGAATTTTACCCCTGAGTTTCCTACCAAAGCAAGCAGGAAAAACATACATATATAAAATAAATTTTGTGTACAAAAAAATAATCATATGAACAAATACAGTAGGTAAATTTATTTGATTCTTATTCTCCAAGA